TGCAATAATAAAAAGCAGTGCATTGAATAAATGATTAAATATGCCATGCAATGAGTGAAGTGAATGCATTCTACGCCGTCTCAAGGCTTGTATTATGCGGGTGTTAGATGTTCAATTTACGCAAGCTTATTTTGTGAAAAGTGACAAATTTAATATTCAAAAAGTTGACTCTGGTCAAGCAAATTCAATTTAACTGGATGAGAGGCATGGATTGAATTGAATATCAAATAATATTGATTCATGCAATACTGAAGGAAAAACATTTGGGGTCATCGGCCAATTTCTTTGAAAAAACAATAGGCTAACAATTTTTGGAAATTCAATTTGCATTTTGTTTTATAGTGAAAGTGGGAAATTTTATCACAGAAACTTACCATCATAAACCAGATCTTTTTGTGTTGTTGGTAATTTTATACGTGTATTATACTGTGGCAGACTGCCTTCAATACCAGCATGGAACTGAAAGAAAATTATCAAATACTTGTAAGTCTATTGTATCATAAAATGTGAAAGCAGCTGGATAGACATTAACCAATTCACAGACTGGCAGAGTGGGTTAAAATGCGTGTAAGAACAGTACAGACAGACAGACAGCCATACACCCCATGGAGCAATCTTTGATTGGCTCATTCACTTCAGACTGGCAGAATATGTGTAAGAACGGTACAGACAGACAGCTGGGCAGACATATACCCCCATGGAACAATCTTTGATCGACTCATCCACTTTAGACTGGCAGAGTGGGTTAAGATATGTGTGAGAATGGTACACACAGACAGCCATACACCACATGGAGCAATCTTTGATCAGCTCATTTACTTCAGACTGGCAGAATATGCATAAGAATGGTACAGACAGACAGTTGGGCAGACAGATGTACACATCATGAAGTAATTTTTGTTGGGCTCATTCACTTCAGACTGGCAGAATGGGCTATGATATGAGAATGGTACAGAATGACAGCGGGACAAACAGACATACACATCATGAAGTAATCCTTAATGGGCTCAGACTGGCAGTGTTTTTTAGATATGTGTAAGAATGGTAAGAATGGACATACAGCTGGACGGACATACACATAGGGCAATCTTTGATGGGCTCATTCACAGATATGTGTACAGTAAAGTAGGAAAAATATGCAGAGGTGAAAATAACAGGTTACATTGTGTGAGAAACCATTAAAGCATGCTAGTTACAACACTTGAGAATCACACAGCAGACAGATGAGGTCAATATAGTTACTATTATCCGGGATCCTGGTAGTTTACTCAGACGCTGAAATCAATGAAACTAACCAAAGTAAGAACAGACACTGACAGCAACAATCAGGATTAATAAGAGAGAGATCAAAAGTAGACAGAATTGAGGAAAATTATCGTTTGTCCGTCTTACCTCTTCTTCGTCCATGGCTTTTAAAGTTTCATCTACATCTTTGCCATCTAGTTCTTCCATTAGTTTTAATAGTTTCTCCTCACACTGTGATAATAGATCTAGTACGTACTCATCAGAGGACGGTGATAGCTGGGCTTGAGGTACATGTCCCTTTGTCTACAAATATTATAATTACAGATACATTATGTATGTGGACATCAGCAATATTCAAGAAAAAAAAAGCAACCATTTTCAAGGCCAAATTTCATAAAATTGGTTTGGCATTTACTGTAAATGCATTAATTATTCACTTTTTTTTTTAATTTCGCTACTTTGGCAGATCAGTAAAATCCGCTAAATTAAATCTACATGTAAAAAAACAATAGAACACATTGTTTTCTTGTTCACAAGCTTGAAAGCCATTGAACATGGACAAAACATCAAAATAGTGAAAATAATTGGTTTTACAGTGTGTTAGGGTCTTCAGTGCCTTTATGACGTGTTCAAGATCTGATATTATTTGTCAAGTGACATAAGCGATGAGATGTATGCAACATCATCAGAACTTGTAACATGTACAGTATAATGTGATTCATAAAGATGAAACTATGGTACTGGTTAATTATATTTAGGAATTGTAGTATAGTCATGATATAGAAACAATGATTAGCATTTTGCTGTACATTTTTTTTTGCTATTTTTGTTGAAAATAAAATTCAAAAAGAAATCAAATTACAAGCATCAATCAACACAGATTTCGGCTTTCATGCCAAAATTTGCAAAAATGACAAAATATTTCTATTTGATCCAAAATCAATAAAGTAATTAGAGAAAAATACATAAAAATGTGCCAAATGTTGTCCTGGAAAAAAATATGATGTTCAAAATACAAGAGTTACCGGTACTTACAGCTTTAAGGTGTTGTAGTTTATCAGACAAATGTTCCACACCGGATTTGACATTGACAAGCAATTTACTGGAACCGTCTAATTTATTGAATGCTTCATCACGACGAGTTTCTTCAGCGTCTAAATGTGATTGGAAATCTTCAAGCATACGTTGACCACTGGTGAAGTAAAAAGGGAAAATAATTATGAGAATTTTTCCTAAATCGCCACAAATTTTTTGACACACCTTATAAAAATGTGACACAATACAGTGCAGGCATTTCTATTCAAAGCAAAGCAATATTTTCGATAGTTTCCAGTGGTAGACTTATACTAAGAACAAAATGAATGGCATTTGAAGAAAAAGGCATCAGCAGGCAATATGTTAATCATCTACTGTGATATTTTTGGACTACTTTATTGTATGCCTCAGAATACATACTTTTGTGATGGTGTTATATGTCACCTGAGCACCCGAGTGTATTGATATGTAAAAAGCAGTGCCGTTGGTGTAACTGAAAATGGCGGAATATAAACAAGAAGTTAAATTTGAGAGCTCTCTGGTTTCTTTGATGTTTTGTGTGTTCCTGAGTCAACACATCACATCTACATTGCAGACACTAGTGCTGACGTTTGACAGAAATCCATCTCCATGGAACCTAACCACAACTAACTTCAGCTATGTCTACAACAGTAGATGGTTTTTATGAAATCAACCACTAACCTAGACAACTTGGCTTCACCAGAATACTTCATCTCCTCAAACTCCTTCTGCAGTTTCTCCTTCTCTTCTTTAAGACGTGCCAATTGTTTCTCGCTGTCTTTCTTCAATTCTTCAAGATGTTTAGTGGTATCTTCTTGTGATTCAAATCGAGCGACTACTTCGGCGAGGTCCGATACACCTGTGGCCTCTTTGATGGCATTGAAGGCTTCTTCATAAGTGCTAATCTTTTTCTCTTGTTCTTCCCCGCTCAGAGCCTGTTTCTGTTCAGCCGTCAAATCATCATGTTGTATGGATGATCGCTGCAACTGTAATCAACATCATTTACTATCATAAGTAATCTTATCTCAGAAAAATACACCAAATCCGAACTTGGCTGAGATTTTTAATTACAGTAATTGGTAATATATTCAAGTTTAATTAAAGCCTAAATTAAAACTACTCAAGTTATGTAATGGCACTTACACAAACATTAATTATCACATTATTAGTGATAACGACAAAGACAACAACTGACACAGATTCATTGATGCCTCATTCTCAATTAACAGTAACATTACCGACAAGACAATAAAACTTATATAAGATATTTGGATACAAGTACATCATTTTGAAAAAGGAACCTCACTGCAAATTTGATCAAGTAAACACAAAGATCCTTATATTATATTTTTTTTTTTTTTACAATAAAAAGCAAAAATATTTATTCTGACAAGAAACATCCACGCAAATATATATATTTTTATATGTATAATGATAAAATAAGTACAGGCAAATTGCGAACTTTTTTTTTTTTTTGGTTTAACTATCTTTTATTCCATACAATAGAAATTCTTTACAGCACAATGTCAACATACAACAAATGTCACAGCTATTATAACCCATACAAAATAGGCACTGAATACCCATTAACATATGCATATTTAATAGGTATTTCTTACCCGTCTTTCAACACGCTCTGCATGTTGTTCTTCTCTTCAGCTTGTTTCTTCAACTCATTCAGTGCTACTTCACGATCTCTTTTTTCTCTGTACACTGTTTCCTCATGTTTTGACAATTCAGCCTGAACAAGGAGATCATCATTACATGTCAGTTAAATTCATCAACTCAAAACTACTACTACTAGGTCTGATAATGGAACTAAAGTGTTTAGTTTCATGGTTTTATCCACGATTTTTCAGTCAACTTATAACAAGTTTATAATTCAATTTCTGGTTTTCAAATTTACCCCATCTTTGAAACTATATTGTGTTATTCTGGTGAAAATAGATTACCCATAACATGCACTGAAAAGTCTAAAATTTTACATTTTTAATTTTTATTTCATTTTTATTATCCCTAGCTTCATGCAGGGTTACACAACTTTTGCAAATAAACATTGTATTCACCTTGGCAGCATCTCTTGAAATCTGGGCATCTTGGTTCATCTTTTTCAACTCTTCTAACTCTTCTTTTAAAGACTTGATTTCTTGTTCAGTTTCATCGAGCTGATTACCAAATGTCAATGCATCTCCCAACATCTGTTCTTTGATGCTCTCATATGTTCTGTTGATGTGTTCAGCTTCATGCAGTTTCAGATTAGCCTTGTCTAGTCGATTTTCCAAAGCTCTCAGACGCTGTATAATGGTGAATGGAACATGTTTAAAATCACACATGAGCAATGATGTTTGTGATGAATCGACTTTACATGTATTACATCCAGTTAGACTATTACGAGAAAAGTATGCATTTAGGTGTATTGGCCGAAGTGCAGTGGAGGGTCATGCCGTCCCTTACTGCCTGAGGGAATACTTTGTGATTTTCTTGTGCTTGTAGCTTTTATTCAGTGAGATATCTGAAATACATTTTAGGAGATTAGTGCATGCACGATAGTTTGTGCTCTGTGATTCTATTTCTGCTAAATTGTCACTACATATGATGTAAACAAAGAAAAGTAATCAAATGTGAAGTAAACATGAAACACATTTTCCAAATAAGGATGGTATTCATGACTCATATTTGTACATGGTTTTACAGGTGCTTGAATTTTATTGTTTTTGCTGCCAGATTTATAATACCGGGTAATATTAGTTATTGACTCAAAACAAAGTGATACACAGCTGCATAACCACAAACTGCTTTCTGATCTCTTAACATGAACGATTAATGTCAAAACAAGATAAAGTGATCTATTTATTTTCTTATCAGAACGCTCTAACTATATAAATAATGCAGGTGTTATGTATCACCCCCTGATACACACTTCTTTACTCAGCAGAATAATATTTGTTTTTATTTACCTGAGCTTCGTCAGACGTTCCCTCATCCATGGCATCTGCATCAGCAGAATCCTTTTTCATTTGGCCAAGCTGTGTGTTTGTCTCTTTCAGTTTTCTCTGCTTTCTTTCAGTCATTGCTCTCATGGCGTTCAGTTTTTTGATAGCTTCACATACTTTCTGATCCATGACGGCAATGGCTTCCTGTAATGATTGTGATTACAGTGAGTTTCATTGCATGAATCATCATCGGTTTATTGTAAACAGCATCGGTTTATTTGTAACAGCAATTTTCAACTAGAGCATTTGTGAATTAATGTTTTGGATTGCATGACCTCAAAAGCTGAACAAGGCATGCATATTGTAAAAACACCATGCTACAAACAAAAGTTGGCTTCAGTCATGTTTTACAAGGCTGAAGCTGCATCAGTGATGATCACAATGTACAAACAGAGAATCAATATTTCCAAGTTGTATAAACACTGTGCAGAAAGTACTAGTAATCTGCTGCTACACATCTGAGAATTTTCTCCAACAAAGTATTAGCCTACCTTTCCCGATTTTCCTCGTAATGCTGCCTTCTCAACATTCCTGTCATGGAAAGCTGTATTGATCACTTTTTCATCTCCAGCTTTACTGTTAGCAAGATTTTTGTGCAGATCCTTGTTCTCTTTGCGCATTTTGGCAATGGTTTCGCGGTTCTTCTTCATCGTCCATTGTGAGCTTTCATAATACGCCTTTCTATCACCATCTAAAAGCAAAGTACAACATTTATCAGATTTATTTTTGTAAAGCAATGCTGACTATCAAAGTGCATGACATTCAAAGTTGAACATATGTGCATTCGAGTGGCACAATTCATTAAAAAAAAACTTTATCACCAAACTGATTAATTTTTGAGTGCTTGTTTTTTTCTTTATTTTTTCATTTTTTCTTGTAACCATTACTGTTACTCTGTGGAATGCATGAAAGTTTTTCTAAACAAATAGATGGCAGCATTCATGGATAAGTTATTTCAGTACTTAGTACAATAGACAACCATAACACACTGAAGGCAAGAACACCAATATGTCTATGTTGTGTGTCTATGAACACTGGAATCATATTACTTCAATTTATATCAGTATACAAATTTACCAGTGTGTTTATATTATTTTCAATGACAACCTTCATGAGTTCTTGAAATTCACACTCACTACACTGTATATGCAGACACAATTGTTAAAATAAAACATTACAGTGATTTTTGACATCATGCATTTCCTTCATCTTTATAAATATTTATAATTTTACAATTCAAATTGTAACAAGAGATTTCTATTGGCAATGTTCAAATATTAAATATTGTTGCACTTTTCTTATTGATTAGCTGCTTTGATTCAACTGTCACTGAAATTTATAAATATTTATATATAACAGATGAAGGGAATGCCTTTGTTGCACTGAGAGTAATGGCAAGAACATTTTGACAAACATCCAACTATTTGAAACCAATACACCCAACAGTATGTGAATGAATCAGTATAGACTTGACACTGCATGCATGTGATGTTCCAAAGCACAAAATCACTCATTCAAGAGCTCATTCTTTAAGACTGCCAATTAGAACGTTTTCCATGGCAACATTATTGTAGCTAAAACAATACATAGGTACATATACTAGTACATTGGTGTTACCTAGTGTTAAAAGAAAAGCAGAATATCTACAATGTTTTCAACAAATACATTTAATATGATTTATAAATTGTAACTTGTAAAGTATTATTATTTATTTATTTCACCCTAACATCATACGAAACTATCACTCAAACGATTTATTCAGTTTTCAGGCCTACTACTGAATGTTAAACTAGGAGGGTGAAATTAGCCGACAACTACTAACACAATTTCAGATTGCTGAAATAGGAATAATACGTTTCCATGGCTATTACGTCGCGTCTTCACATAAAATTTCAGCGTTTTATCTTCAAAGCACCATACAGAATACAAATTATGCAGACGAGACGCACTCGAATAGTATATTCTATATCATGGCTTGCTGTAATTGGACATGTGAAGGACAGCTCCAAAAATTCGAGAACACAGTTCGAAAGTTCTACTCACCTAGAAGGGCAATCTTTCTCTGTAGCTCGGCAATTTGTTCCGTAATCGGAGCCCTATTGCCCCCACGTGCCGCGCCCGGCATGTTTAACTGAGTTAAATTTGAGAGCTCGGTTAAAATTTGGACATGAAATGCAGAAAGTGCAACAACAACCCGTCGCTCGCAAAATAAAATGGAGAACGACGAGCTCGTATGTTTATTTGTTGCACGTCACTATGGATACTTCGTTAGTTCTCTCCTCCAATTATGAAATACCAACGTTTATTGTGCTTTTATGCACACTTTCTTGCACAGTTTTAATCTGTTGTCATTTAAAGTTACATACGCATACCTTTTCAAAATTCAATGTAACGTTTTGACTGCAGTATTATTCTGGTTGGTATATATTCCCAAATATTAGTATTTGTCAACAGAGAATCCTTGACGACAGAGGGCGCACCCGTACAACGTCACTGTGAATGTGTAAAGAAAAGTGGGCGAGTCGTTGAGGGACTGCCAGTCTGAGAGTGGTCCAATGAAGCACTACTTGTTTTCAAGATAATTAAAATCACAATAACTTACACCCAAACAAATTTGTATTATTTTTACTACACCAGTTTCACATAGGGTAGATGTGTTGTACAATGACTTCTCTAAAGCGTACAAGTAGTTTTAAATAAATACCACACACCACAGTCCCTCTATCTGATAGAGGGACTGTGAACAAACACACCAAATCGGCATAAAGCTAATTGCTAGACCAGTTAGACCAGTCTTTATTATCCCTTGTTTCGCGAACCCGCCGAATGAAACGGAGCCGAAAATGAAATCAGAATAAAATTTTATTTCAGCGTAATTTCTCGCGCCCGCCGACTTGTAAGCGCAAAAAATTGCTAAAAAAATACTATTTTTATCTTCATTTTTTTACCGCCCGCCGCATAACAAATCCAAGTTACATTTTCGTGGGAGTATCATGATCAAAGTACCGAAGTCTCGTGCAAATGAGAAACAAGGTTATACATGGAATAAAATGTTATTTCATTTATTCTCTCCGATCAATGATCTCACTTACATTTCTTTGAGAATCACACAAATCTAATGGAAAAAAATAATTAATTTTATTTTTTCCGCCCTCCTCAAAAAAATTGCCTTATAAAAACTCGCGAAACAAGGAATAAAAAAGTCTGGCCTTACGGGTTTCAAACAACAACTGGGCCGTTTGGAGATCAGATACATGTATATAGAAATCAGTCTCAATAATAATATTATCACAATTATTGAAAAAAAAACTAAAAAAAGTCGTTTGAAATCGACAATAAACTAAAAATCTATGATGACAATAAATAGATCAACAGTAAAATAAAATCAAAATTCGCACCTACCGAATGTTAAAACAATTAAGAAACGTACCCTTATATGGTTGATCATACAAACCACAGGACAGTCGAGATGTATGTAAAAGAAAGTATTGCATGCGAACTGAACAACCCTGAAGATGAGAAACACTTTCTTTTGAAATGTAAATTTTATGAAAATGAAAAAAATCGATTATTTTGAGAGAAAGATATAGCTTTGCCGCACTACGGTCCGTGGCAAATTACGGGCAAGTGAATTTCTAATATTTGTTAGACTATGATTTTTGTCGTTCATTTCAAAATCCTATTGTTGAAAACTAAATGTCGCCACCACAGGCATAACACCGAGAATCACATACCGCCAATCCACCAATTAGAAATGTTAGAAAAAAACAAAATGCTATTTTCCAAAAAATATTATAAATTCACTTGGCCGTCATTAGGCACGGACCCACTACAGATGAAGAAATAATAATGGCAATGTTGGATAATACCGACAGTGTGTTTTTTTAATCGCAAAATGCTCATGTTACTGGGAGAAACAATATTTAAAAACATTATTAACAGCAGCCTCTTCAAGTCAACATCCTAACAAGGATACGATTACAAAATTGTATTTGGTTTGTTGGAATATATTCTGTTAGTTGAACCACGTAATACTGACAATAGAGTCAATAAACTTAATATGTACGTTATAAATTATTATTACATTATAAACCTAAATATAAACTCAAACAGCAACTTGAGTGTTTGCGATGGCATCGTGATTAGATCGGATTGATCGACTGGTCGTGAGCTTATTGGACTATTGACACAACAAATCATTCCCTTCAGTTTTTTACGAATATTTAAAATGTTTAATGGTAGTTGAATCAAATCAATCAACCAACAAGCGTAGTGCGCAATGACGTCATTTTAAAATGTTCCAATGTAATTCCATCGACCAATAGAAATGCCTTATTTCAGTTTGAATCGTAGAATCAAGGGCCGGGTTTATTTTGTCGATAGTGTACTAAGTATGTCATGCCTCTTTTTTGCTTACTTCTCGAAAATTACTAGTAGCTTAAACTAAGGATGTATACACGTTTATATAATATACCCCACTTGTTTCTTAAATTAAAGCCATATTTGTATTAGACATGCCCTACTAAATATTTTAGTATCGGCACATTATTTTATTCTCCTTTTTGGTGGTGCCCGGGCCGGTGTCCGAAGAGAAGACGCACCGTGACGTATAGCTTGACAAAGTTCTCAGACCTACTCGCCTACTAGACTGTGTTGCAGATGCATATTTTGTTTTTACTGGTGTGCCATTTTTATAGTGACTTGCGAACTTTTTATACATTTTACTTTAACCCACTCTTGGTGATAAATACTGTACACTCCTTCCAATTTTGGGAGTCACAGTTTAGTTTTATCAACCAAAACATTTGATTTCAATGAATTGTCATGGACTTGATGGCTTCGCAGTAACCCGGCTTCCGCAATTTACACAAAAAACAAAACAAACACACACATACACAAACGAGAGAATGTATGCAAGTCTATCACAATAAGAAATACTCGGCATTATTGACTGTAATATATATATTTCAAATATATTCACAACTGCCGATCCAGAATGGCGGAACAAAACTTCTCGTTCAAAATAATCAGCGACTAAATGTACACCGAGTTTCCTCCCAGGACATGGCATTTGGTTAAGTGAGGTTTCTCAATTCCGCGGAAAAGGTATATCCCCGAAAACCAAAATAGGGATACTTTAAAAAACAAACAAAAAAAATGACATCTACTTATAGGTCAAGACCGTCACAATACAATGCTTTGGCAGTGAAATACCTTGTTGTGGAATTTCTACTTGTCAATGAACAAAACACGCGAAATGCACCGTCGTAACAGGGACTTCGAACAAAACCAAGAGACAGCGCATCTAAAATTAAGGATGTTTCGATTTGTTTTCCCCAAAGTCTGCATTTTATTTTGAAAAGGGGTACTCGTATGCCTTACCTATATCAGCCAAGTGCACCCGGTGTTTCATCGGATTGATAATTGTGACATTATGCATAAAAAAACATCGCTTTCGAATTATACCTATCTAGTCTTGTCACAATTGTGCATTTGTCAATATGATACAATATCATATGTCTCCCATGACGCGTTCCTTCAAACAATAACAACTCATATAATAATGTAATTGCACAAAAGTGAATTAAAATTTGGTAGAAATCAGACCACTCCTAATATTTCTTGTGTGAAACTAAAGTTTTGTTGAAAGCGGTGGTTCACGTACTGTCACGACTT